TGTTGATATGTTCATCAATCATGCTTGGTGAGATACTAAACATGGGAACATCATCAATAACAACCTCCCAATAAAATAAGGTATGGTAAGATTTTTGAAAGGTAGGTTGGAAAAATTTAGTATTAATAAGTTACGAGTCTGGAAGCGGAATGACCAATACTTTCTATATGAGTATTATTTGAATTTGATTTGTCGTAGGTAGGAAGAATATTTAATTTTTTAAATTGAATATGCGATGGAGATAGAAACACACATATTTTTATTTTTATCTTCATATACTTATTTCTATCCTTATTTTTATTTTTTATTAAATTATTAAAATATATAATTTATTAAATAACTTATATATATATATATATATATATATATATATATATATATATTTGTCTTTTTGTCTTTAGTTTTGTAATTTTTGTTTCTTCTATTGTATATCTTTTTCTTTTTCTTGTTCTTTTGTTTTATATAAACAAGATTTTTAAGATATTTTTCTTTTATTAGAATCTTAATTATACTTCTTTTTGTGTTTATGTTTAAATGAATGTTCTCAATTTTATTAAGTTAAATAATTCATAGGTAATGTGTTTGATTATTTCTATCATTTTTAATATTTTTATTTATTATTCTTTTTACATGTAAATGTTTTACTCTAAATTTTTAATTTTTAATTGCATAAGCCTTTAATTGATTAAGTAACGTGAAAAATAACTTATTATATTCTTTATTGTCTTTTATTCTTAGTTTTTTTTTCATTCAAATAATTTTGCACAATGTAAATAATTTTGATTATTTTTTAACAATTTGACGATTTGATATTTAACAAGTCTTTTATATCTTTAATATTTTCATTCTTATCATACTATTAATTATATATTCTTTTTCCTTTGTACAATTTCATTAGATGGTATATCAAATCATTTCTACGACACTCATTTGATAATTTTTACTTTTTTTTAATATTTTTGTTTATTATCACATCAGGTAAAATATTAGTTGGATGAATTTTTATATAATTCCATGTATTATAATTCATTCTCGTAAGAACAATTTTACTTCACACGTGAATAAATATGTTTCATTTATAACAAGTTATTGCCATAAATATCTATGTTTAAATTTGAATTGTTATTTGTTATAAGTTTATAATATGGATTTTTTTATTGAAATTAAAATGTATAAAATAACATTAATTTCAACACTTAGGTATCAAGTTGATATATAAAAAATTAAAAAGAAATATTTTGATATATACATTGTTGTAATTAAGCTTAATTATTAATTTGGTATCATTTTAGAGAGTGACAAAATTGTTTTATTAAAAAAAATTAAATTAATTCAAATTTTCTAATATAAAATTAAATTGAATATAAGACATTGTCATAAGACACTGATATTATATTTGGGATTGCATGAACACATAATTATTGTCACATGATACTATATACATCACGAGGCATGACATAACTTAACATGTAATGTGACACGTGACAATTCAAATATAAGTTATAACACTATATTTAATTTATATATATATATATATATATATATATATATATATATTATTTATTTTGATTGTAATATAAATAATGTTGACGCAAATGTTTATTTTAAATATTTGAAATGTTTTGAAAGTAGATATAATTTTAATAATAGAAGGTAGTCATTGATTGATATTTATAATAACCTTATACACATTAATTATATGGAATGTGATGAATTTTTATCCACTACAATTTTCTTACATTTATATGATTAATTATGATAAAATATTATATTATATTTCTTAAATTACCTACAATTGATAAAAGAAACATAGTGTAATACTTTTATTATTTGGTTATATGAGTATATCCCACAATCAATATATCACTAAATTTATTAATTAAAACATGTTTGCATCGATATGACATAATAGTTTTATCATTTGGTTATATGAGAATAATTAAGTAAGACTTATTCTAGAGTCAAGTTTCATGTCTATAATCTATCCATTAAGACATGTTTGCATCGGTAAAACATAATAATTTTATCATTTGGTTATATTAGTTTAATTGAATAAGACTTTAGCCACATATTTTTATGTCATTAGATTCACTCCATAAGACATGTTTATATGAGACTAATTGAGTAAGACATTAGTTCACAAACAAATTTTATGTAACTATATTCACTCATTAAGATATGTTTGCATCGATAAAACATAACAGTTTTATCATTTGATTATATGTGTTCAATTGAGTAAAACTTTAGTTAATAGAAAAGTTTTATATAAACAGATTCACTCATTCAAACATGTTTGCATCGATAAAACATAATAGTTTTATCATTTCGTTATACATTACTATATTCGTTAATTCATTAATGTATATTTATATGGGTAAAACATGATATTTGTTATATTTTCAAATTGTAATAATAAACATGTATTTTAAAATTTACAATTTCTCAATCTGTAAATATTTCAGATATTCATTATGATATTTTCTAATTAAAAAGAAGATAATTATAAGTTTTGGAATGAGAAAATTCTTTTTTATTTGGACATTAATTAACTATTAGAAAAATAGAGTCACTACTATTATGATTTTGATAAAAAGTGGGAGAGATTAAATTATCTATTTGTAATATTAATAAAAACCAACCTTTATGCTCGAATTTGAATTCTTATGATATATATGAGAAATTTAGTAAGTTATTAATGAGTCATGACCATAAATCTTTTACCCAACACTACTATTATTGTGTATTTTATTCAATTTAAGATTTAACCTCACATTTACAAAACTAACATGTATTATTAAACTTTTATTGAGTTAAGTCTTTGTTTTTTTACTTCACAAAGAACTTAATTTTCTTAGTGAAGTGTATATAGTGTGGCTGAAGAGGACAAGAATGGCAGTAGAATGTAGGTGTGAGTGGACCTTCAAATCTTGACAACTCACTAACCTTTCACATTTCCTCCGGTATTATCAAAATTAATTACAACTACCTAATCACACCACCCAAGATTCATGCTTACTGGATGTATATTTCCTTACTTTATACTTATTTCTCATTTCAATATTTGTTAAAAAACATATTTTATAAGTCAAAAAAATTACAATACTTAAGTTAATAACTATATATATCCATTTACTTTTAAACTTTAAAAAACAAAATTTTATGTTAGAGTTCAGGATTAAAAATATATTTAATGTTATTTACTATTTACAAACTATCTTAACTTAATAATATATTGCGATAAATAAAATTTTGTTCAAGTAACATGAGTTTTTAAACTATTTTTGTGAGAAATGGCTGATGTATAGAATACTCCTATGATCCAAATAGCATCCCATCTATTCTATTTTATTATTAGAAAACTGCTAAAAATTGTTGAACAATGGTGAATGGTGTCAAAGAGTAAAATGTTTCATTAAAATATAGGAATATATAATTTTTATGATTTTTCAAATGTGTTTTTTATATTATTTTCAATAAAATGGTTTTAATATTCTAAATCACAGTCTTAAAATTTCTTTCTAATAATACTTAAAACAACTCAAGGTTTATAATAATTACAGTTTCTTATTTTACAAATTCATTACCTTGTCTTAGAAAAAGTATAGTTTTACATTCACATTCTGTAATTATATTTTATGAATTAAATGGAAATGCTAATCACAAGCGAGAGATGACAACTGTTAAATGTGAATTTAAACATCTTTTTTATAAAACTTTTCTAAATTTAAAATTGTTATTAAAACATATTTCATTTATTATATTTGATATTATTTTATATTATCATTAAATATTTATAATTTATTATTTATATAATGTCATAAATATTTATTTCATGTATCATATCTGATATATAATATAATTCTTAATAAAAGTAATCTCAAATTCATTTATTAAAGGTCTTTTAAAATCGTTTTAAGAAAAATAAAGTTTTTTAAAATGTGATGACATTTTTAAATTTTTGTATAAATAAAAATTTTGGTTTTAAAATAACTTAAGTCTATATAAGTATATGCTTCCGTCATGTCTATGTCTATTTGTATGTGAGGGTTAAAATTATATTTTTACTAGAGTATTTTTTATTTGCATTCACGTGCGTCAGTTCTTCGCAAAAGTAATTTTGCGTTCTTTCTAATCGTTATATGTAAACCACATTGTGACTTTTGATGTGAACCAATCTGTTGTTAACTTTTTAAAAACATATATATAAAGTTATTGGAAATTTAGGAAACAAGACCAACGACCTAACATAAATTTAAATTTATAATAAATTTTAATCAATAAAAAATAATATATTTTTTTCCTCGTGATACTTGTTTACATTATTATACCATTATACACATACTATTTTTTTTTCTATATGAAACGCTTTAAATATGAGATATATAGAAGACATATTAAAGTTCATTTCCTCACAAAATGCCTTCTGACAACAACTCCATCTTATCTACCTATTATTGCCTCATTTCATTTCCTATATAATAACACACACTATCAAACACTAGGAATCTTATCATTAGTTATATAAACATACATCTTCCTCAATTCCTATATGTGTGGAAAAAGCACATGGGAACTCAATAATATCCTAAATAAATTATACTCAAACTTAATAACATAAATAATCAGGTAAATCAACATTTTAGAAATTTATTTACTACCATTTTTTTTCCTACACCATATCCTCGTTTTCATACTAATTCATAAATAGTACGAGGTCTGAAGATTATTTTGGTCAAAATAATAAACCTCTATTGCGACACTCCTGAGGAAAAAAAATTGGTAAATGGTAATGTTGTTTTTTCTCCATTTCGTTTCTACACATAAATTGTCAGAGTAAAACTTTTTTTGTTTTTGTAAAAGAAACAAGGCTTAATTTGAAAGGAACCAAAGTCAACAGAGGATCAGGGTAGAGATGATTTTTTCATTATAGATTTAAATAGTTTTATTTTTATTAGTCTGATGTAGTGTGGTACATGCCCAAATACAAATCTACATGGTTGTGTTGTATGCATAGAAAAACTATCTTTGTTTTGATCTCCGTGGATAAAAGGGAACTGAAGAAAACAGAACCAAACAAAAACAAGCAAACATGGACACCGAGCCCTCTACGCCTTTGCTTTCTCGAAGTCTCAGCTGGCTTTGTCGGAATTGCGTCCTGTTCTTCAGACCACAACAACTCCTCCTACGCTCTCTCTAGTTCCTTCTTCCTCAATCTCTCTACAAAAACTCCAAGGTCTTGTATCCATTCCACTTTTATGTTTTCTTTTTAAATCTTCTTCAAACACTTTGTTTTCTTCTCTTCACTCCATTTCAGATCAAATGAAACAAAATGAGACATCACAATTGGATCAGGGACTTAACCATCTGTTTTTGTTTTTCTCTTATGATGTTCTTCTGGCTTTTTGGGTGGATTGGGAGGTTAAAATGGTTGCTAAAATAGTTGCTGCTTCTATAAGCTTTTTGGGATATCCTTCATGAAAAAATTCAGTTTTCCTCAGGTTCTATATGCACAACCTCTTATTTTATTCTGGACATACCAATAAAATAGGTTTCTTTTACATGAGGTGAAACATCCAATCTCTAAAAAAGCAAGGCGAAAAATGATACTTTTTGGGGTCCCAATTCAGTTAGGAATAAACAAATGACTCTTGAGCAGTTGAATCCTGTTATCCAGACTTTTGTGTTTTCTCCTACTTTTGGTATCCTTACCGGAAGAAGAAACCAACAGAAACTATGGCCCACGCTGTTGATTTTTTGAGCCCAGTAAGGAAAATTATATAGGCGTATCAGATTTTTTTTCTTGTAGCTTCAATCAAACTTGGCCGCATTGCATGATTCAGACTTGCTGGGCTCCAGTTTTGGTAGTCCTTGATTTCTCCAGACATCTTCCACATAGAGAATTCCACGTGCAACGTTGGAATTCAGACTAGGAATGGTTTTTTTTCATTAAGCTCTTCAAGGATTTAGCCCTTTTCTGAATGAATCCTGAGTCCTGTTCCTTCGGACTCGAAAATTGTCTTTTGTTCCATTACAACATCTCCCAGGATTCCCCATCACAGTACACACAATTGTTTCACTCTTCTGGTAATCATTAAGGAAAGAATAAAATACTAATAAAACAAAATGAAACGGTTCCTTCCCGTGAACTATTAGAAAATTTTCATACCTGCGAGTCATGCTTAATTGATATAATTTTTCACTGTCCAGTTCTGTACTGTATACATCAAGGGAATACAAGAGGCATAAGTAAGCAGCGTGCAGCGGTGGAATCATACTGCAGTGTTGATGGGGCATTTTTCATCTGCGTTCAATAGGTTGGCAAAGTCCTTTGCAACCAAGAGAAGTGGGAGTTCTGATGGATGCAACGGAAGAGAAGCTGCGGAAGCAATGGCAAAGGAAGCCAAAAAAAATCACTTCATGTTGCATAGCTCCGGCACCATTAATGTTGACGGTTCAGACAACTTTGCCTCACTTTTCTCCAAAAAAGGAAAGAAAGGAGTCAATCAGGATTGCTGCGTAGTATGGGAAGTATGTAGCAGTGTCGAATATTTCCCTACTTGTGTTACCAGTATTTTCTTTTCTTAATGGGTATTTACTATTCGAGATTTTTGTCGATGTTGGTTACAGGAATTTGGGTGCCAAGAGGACATGATTTTCTGCGGGATTTTTGACGGGCACGGGCCATGGGGTCACTTTGTGGCCAAGAGAGTAAGAGAGTCAATGCCACCATGTTTGCTATGCAACTGGCAGGAGACACTTTCCCAAACTTCACTTGATCCAGATGTTGATGTTGATATTACGGCAGAGAAAAAGCAACACCGGTTCAACATATGGAAGCACTCTTACTTGAAGACCTGTGCTGCCATTGATCGAGAACTAAAGCAGAATCGCAAGATAGATTCATTTTTCAGCGGAACAACTGCCCTGTCCATTGTTAGACAGGTAAAGATAATACAAAAAGCTTGTCAGAACGAACCAAGCTTAAACACAGCAACTCAAATGATTTTGGTTTCGTTGTTTAATTAGAATTAGAATTTCACCCTCAATAAACTGCCAAGTCAATTTGCACAATGAATCTAGTGACCTCACTCACAGAACATTATCCTGATCTGTGATGGGCAGGGTGAATTAATTGTCATTGCAAACGTTGGTGACTCTCGCGCCGTGTTAGCCACAGCATCAGATGATGGAAATTTGGTAGCAGTTCAGTTGACAGTAGATTTCAAGCCCAGTTTACCTCGTAAGTGTGTTTCCGTGCATCATTGTAACTGGTCTAGAATGAGTAATTTTTGTGTAAACTAAAAAATGTGGTTACATGGAACTGTTGCAGAGGAAGCGGAGAGAATAGTGGAGTGCAAAGGACGAGTTTTCTGCTTGGAAGACGAGCCTGGGGTGTACAGGGTGTGGTTACCGGACGAGGAGTCACCAGGACTTGCCATGTCAAGGGCTTTTGGTGACTACTGCGTCAAAGAGTATGGTCTTATTTCAGTGCCTGAAGTAACACACAGGAACATAACCAGCAAAGACCAGTTTGTTGTACTAGCCACTGATGGGGTATACAGCACACTCTTTTCCTTAAAATTGTTGTCTATGTTCATTCTGATTGAAACAAAAAATATGAAAATGAAAGAACTTAACATTGTAGAGATGTGTGACATAGTTTGTGCATGTGGTATTGATGTGATATTATTATAGGTGTGGGATGTAATCTCGAATCAAGAAGCAGTGGATATTGTGTGTTCAACAGCAGACAGAACAGAGTCTGCGAAACATTTGGTGGAGTGTGCGATGCGTGCATGGAAACGCAAGAGGAGGGGCATTGCAATGGACGATATTTCAGCTATTTGTCTCTTCTTTCACTCTTCACCATCACTTCACCAAGTTCATGCCACCCTAGAATAGAACAGAACATTTATCATGTAAAATTGGCAAGTCAAGTGCCACTTGCAGTTGCATCCATGTAAACATGGTCCCCTCCGATTAAGGTTTATTCAAATCGATGTCGTGTCTCAGTCTCCTCTTTAATTGTTAACCTAATTAATCACGTCTATCTTTTTTGTTTGTTAGTATCAACATGTCACCACCTACGTGCTTAAATACGCAGTTTTTTTATGACTCTCAAATTGGAATGAAGAGAACGTAAATTGAATTAATTTTCCTACACAAATTGGGTACGGTTAAGTCAAGACTTGGGCCGGTGTTAGTATTCATGGACATAGGGTTGGCACCTAAATTTGACCAAGTGGCCTACTCCACCGTGAATGATTAAATGCGCCGAGATTAATTTTTGTGCCCTAAATTCCAAGAAACCAAGGCATTGACACGCGTCAAGGCATCGGCATCTTTGTGTGGATGTAAATTGACAATCGCAGAAGTTTCTCAAAAGTCGAAGAAGGATAGGATAGGTTGTCGTTTTAGCACAAAAGCCTTTGTATTTTTCTTCCTATTCAGCTCTCGATTATTGGAATCAGTACGATTCCAATACTATTATTTGATACATTTTATTCATCTCACGAAATTAGTGCATTTTAGTGGATAAATTGTTGTGATAATGTTAATAAATTAATCATAAAGTTAATGATGGAATTTTATAAGAATATTTTGTAATATTTGCACTTTATATTTTAACACGTGTTTTTTTTATTGTTTTGGCTAGATGGAAATTGGTTAAGTTTGTCGTAACTTTGTTTGGCTAGTTTTGGAATTCAGCTATCTTGTATGGATATGTAATGCTGTCTGAGTCGGATAAAATAATTATAAATATTAAAATTATCTTTAAATATATATAAATTACATATTCATAACTCGAACTTGATATCACTATTTACCTTAACTGATAAATTTTACTTCTCCTTCTCAATTTGTTTTTTTGTTTCCTCATAATGCTAAACTATTCCTTATCTATCGTATGAAAGACCGAACTAGATTTGGTATAGTTTGTTCTTTGAAATCATATGCAAATTAGGTTTAAATTTGGTATTCCAAAATCATATTGAAACATCAAATATGTTAAACAAACACTGCACGATTTTATTGAACTATAATTATGCATCATGTGATTAATTTCTTGCGCTTACATCATTAGAATTATTTCACAAGTTGACCTTCACAACCATTTTATGTCAGCAACCTCGTTTTCCATCACTTTCCCAATAGCAACATCTATATGATTTAATCATTCAATTTTTTTAATAAGATGATAATTTTTTTTTATTTGTAGGTGATCAATTTATATTCATAAAATCTTATTCAATTTATACTCATAAAAAATTAGTATAAATATAATATTATATTCATAAAATCTTATTCAATTTATACACCATTTATATTCATGTTATCTCTTAAAAAATTTGTTTAATATTTTCTTAATTGAAATAATATTCACTAAATCGTATTTCTTAGAAAATCTTATAAATGAAATATTTTTTAAATTAAATAATTATTAAAAAAAATTATCTCTTAGAAAATGTTAAACAAAATAAATATTTTAAATTAAATAATTAGGAAACCCTTTTTAACTTTTATAAAATATTCAAATAAAATAAATCTTTTAAAAGATGATTTCATCTCTCATAATAAATAAATCTTCTAAATTAAATAATTAATAAATTATTTTATTTTTATCATAACCTTTTTAAAAAAGAACTTCTAATTATATAACGATTTACTTAAACTATTTTTTTTTACTTTTTTAATTATTATAATTTTCTAACAACTCACAAACATTTTATTTTAAATTATTTATTATTTAAACTAATAAATTATATTTTATTTTAAATTAATTTCAACCAATCATATTTTTATTCAATTAATTACATCAATTAAAACTTTTTTATTTAAAGTAATCACTCATATTTTAATTTAATTCGATTTAAGTTAATTAAATTTTATTTTAAATTAAATCTAACTACAGGGACAAAATTATACTATTATGATTTTATCAATTTAAACTTTTTTATTTATTACCTCCATCAAATTATTTAAAATTTTTAAAAATTTTTTCTTTACTTTCTATATCATTTTCTTAATTCAAACTATTTTACTTTCCTTTTCTTTTTTCAAATTTTTTTTTTTTTACGTTTTCAAATTCATATTTAAATCCAAATAAAATGTGATCGTTTTATATAACAAAACTCATGGTCATACAATGAATTATAAAGGTAGATTACAAACTCAAATGGGTTAAGCCCTTTTATCCACTCTCTTTTATCTTGCACATAGTTTTCATCTTTTCACATTTTCTATTTTTGTGAAACTGTTGCCTTCAAGTGCTGTAGCTTCATGAACATAAACTTCTTCGTGGATTGGTTACTGTGCCATTTTTGTGGAACATATCTTATATTAGAAACAGGCAAAAAAACATGTAGACAGAGTTTCCCCTACTACTTCTAACAGCCTATATGAACGACCTTTGTTGAACAAAATAATCCATACTTGCTTAAATTGTTAGAAAATTATTTAAAAACTATTTTTAAAACTGAATAATGGTATTAGATAAATCTGTGTAGATTTATATAATTTGATATGTTAGGCGAAATCTATTAAAATTCGTTTACTATCATTATGTTTATTGTCATTATTTGCATTCAAAAATATTAAACTACAAATAAATTTGAAGGGAGGGAGTAATTATTATTTTTTAATAAAAATATAATTTAAATTTGTATGTACATTTTTTTCTTATATTATATAGTAATACTCTTATGAAAAAGTTAAGACTGATTTAGTAATTTTGTTTAAAAGGTTGATAATTTATATTGTTCTTACTGTATGTAAAAACAAAAAACAAAAGTTATAAGAGTAAAGTCTTTTTTTGTGGTGATGGGTGGTATGTGTCATATTCAGTGCCGACCACATTGTACTTATTAAAATATACAAAATATATGAACATCAGACGCGCAGTTTAGAAGAGCGTGAGCGTGTAATAAGATTATGAAGAAAGAAAAACTCATGGTTTGCTTAGGGCACGAGTTTAAGATGGTTTATAGTTGTTACATAATAGATCATAACGATCCAATTATACCATATAAATGCCACCAAATAGGTTATTTTAAGGTAAACACACACCATAATAGATAAATAATTATATTGTGTATATATATAAGATTTTCTAAAATATTATTTCGAGAAAACTATTATATAATATATTTATATCTACATTTATAATAGAGACTTATACACACTCAATACATTCATCTCTTGCCGGTGAGTTATTGTTATTATAAGCTATTGTGAAATACACGGTTATTATAGGTAATGTAAGATAGAGTAAATTTAAATTATATGATTTAAAAAATTAAAATCAATTCAGAATAATCATTTATCCTTTCATGGTTTACACACCATGCTCAAACATTAAATGTTTATAGCACATCATACAAACAAAGTCATCACTTATGCATAACTAAGCATGTTTTATTTTTAGATAACAAGTGTATTAAGTATAATTTAAGATAATACATCTGTCATTCTTCATTCATGTTTCTTAAGAGTTATAGTTACATCATACTTGAGTCACAACTTTACTAAAGAGTATGACAACATAAATTATTCTACATATGTGAATAAAGTTGTCAACTTGATTCATGATCCATGGATCAGTCTTAATTATTCTTGAAAAGGTCTATTTTAAGAAGTCCCTAAAATGGAGGTAAAAAAAAGTCTCAATCTCTATATACCACTCTCAAGTGAATTACGATCAGAGTTAAGATGGATTTAGCCACACTACAAAACTTTAATTAACTTTTAAAAGCAATACCATTTATATATATTTAAATCAATATTTTTATATCATACTTATGTTACTAAATAAAATATATATTAAGCATTTCATATTTTTTTAGTTTTTATATATTAAATAAAATATGTATTTTTATATTTTTATATTATACTCATATATAATAATTTTCACATATGAAATAACATTTTAAATATATTTTTCATATTTCACCATACAACCACGTCGAATATTTAATAATTTTATTAATTGGTAACTTTTTAAAAAATATAATAAAACTCAAGTTGTTACTTCTAACCTATTTTTAACTAAATGTAGTCTTTTGTTAAAAAATGTATCTAAATTAGATGCAATAGTACGTTAGAATAAAGTTTTAAATATTTTTTCTTATTTGAGGATTACTTAATAGTTTTGTTTCGTACTTTATTTTTATATAACTTTCTAGTTAAACAAAGAAGTGTATACTAATTTGGACGGTCTGTACACAAAAAAAAAA